GGAGGAAGAGGGAAGGGAGAAAGGGAGGGAGGGAGGGAGGGAGGAAGGAAGGAAGGTAAAGAGATAGGAAGGGAGGGAGGGAGAGGAAAGGAGAGGAAGGAAGGAAGAAAGAAGGAAGGGAGGGAGGGAGGAAGAGGGAAGGGAGAAAGGGAGGGAGGGAGGGAGGAAGGAAGAGGGAAGGGAATAAGGGAGGGAGGGAGAAAAGAAGGAAGATAGACAGAGAGAGAGGAAGGGAGGGAGGGAGAGGAAAGGAAGGAGAGGAAGGAAGGAAGAAGGAAACAGGGAGGGAGGGAGAGAGGAAACAGGAAAGGCAGGAGGGAAGCAATAGCACTTGGACTGATATACCACTTCACAGAGCTTTACAGTCCTCTCTTAAGCATCTAAATTTTGATCATGTGACCATGGGGAAATGCTACAACGGTCGTTAAGTGGGAAAAGCAGTCCTAAGCCCCTTGTTTCAGTGCCACTGTAATATTGGGTGGTCAGTAAACGAACTGTTGTATGTCAAGGACTACCCGGGCTCAACTGAGCCCAGAACTCTGGTCTTTAGCTTACAGCCGTCGTCAAGCAGCCGGAGTCCTTGACTTGCAACATTGCTCTCTCCAAAGGGAGTCCAGAATTTCCGTCGTTTGAGTTGGCCCTGCGGCCGTGAGGCAGAGCCTGGGCCGCCTGGGGGGCTGGGAGAGACCCTGAGTGGCTGGATGAATGGGGGGTTTTAAGTCGAAGGAGTATCCTCCACGTAACTGCCTATGGTTGGGGGGGGGGGGGTCTCCCATTTCCCTTGATCTGATCGCAACAGGAGAGAGTGGAACCTTCCGCTTTCGTTTTTCCAGCAGGTCCTTTTGAACCTTCCCAGAAATAATGCCTGACCCTCTAGGCTTGTGTTGACACACGTTGCCTTTCTAGGCCCCCTTTTGGGACAGCCCCCCCCCTCCACGTGACCCACCCAGCCGGGAGCGAGTTCAAGCGTGACTCACGCCTGGGAGAAGCTGTCCCAGTCGGAGGGGCTCAAGGGTTCAGGGCCATTTGGGGCCTCCTGGGATGAATCCATGCGGGAATGTTTATGGGAAGAATTGCAGATTTGCAGCCGGCGTGGGCCAAGGAACGGCCAAGTCAGCAGCAACCTCTACATTTTGAATTTTAACAATTAAATCGCCAGCCCTGCTCCCAGAAAGAGGAGAATTAACGACACGTATTTCCCCGAAAATAAGACCTAGCCACGTTTTCTTTTAGGCTCCAAAATAAGCAGTAGGGCTTATTTTTTTTGGGGGGGAGACATAATTTCAGGGTGATCATCCCGGCTGGGCCCCCTGGTAACAGATAACCAGAGTTGGAAGGGACCTTGTAGGTCATCTAGTCCAACCCCCTGCCAAGCAGGAGACCCTACACCATTTCTGACAAGATGGCAATCCAATCTCTTCTTGAAGGTCTCCAACGATGCGCCCACAGGAGATGGCAAGTGTGTGGGGACGGATGGTATCTGGCAGTAGCTGCAGCCCGCCCATCCTGACACACCGCCCAGGCTGCAGGCCAGCCGAGGGACACGAAGATGAGGCGGCCGCCCGCCATCCAGCCCACCACCGCTCAGCTTTCCCGCGGTCCATGCAGCATGTCCGGATCGCCTCCCTCCCATGCAGGTTCTGCCTGTGTCTTCTGCCGGTGTCACCGATGTGAGCCTCCCGCGGCTGGCCACCGCTCCGCCCCACCACCGTTCAGCTTTCCGGCAGCACATCCGGATCACCTGCTTTCCCCCCCCTGCTGCTTGCACAGGTAATCAACTCACCTGTGCTGTGCTGGCTTGCGGTTACTGCCAGATACTGTCAGCCCGTGCCCCCTTGCGCCCCCCTTTGCTGGCCCTGCCCTCTTCCCCCCCCCCCCCCCATTCACTAGGGTTTATTTTGGGGGTAGGGCTTATATTAGGCACAGATTTTTTTTTTAAAAAAAAAAACCAGGCTGGGGCTTATTTTCACAGTAGGACCAGAGGTGGTGAATTCAGTCGGTTGTGGCCAGTTCTGGAGAACCAGTAGCGGAAATTTTAAGTAGTTCGGAGAACCGGCCAGCCCCACCTCTGACTGGAGATTTTACAGTCTCTTTCCCCTGCCACGCCCATCAAGCCATGCCCACCGAACCGGTAGTAAAAAAATTGGAATCCCACCACTGGGCATATTTTTAGGGAAACACAGTATTTTAATCCCTGAAGAATTCATGGGGACCATTTCAAACGAAGGCAACGGACGGGAGAAAAAGAGCTAGCAGTCCAACCGAGTTGGTCCCTTTCGAGTCTTATTTATCCTTTTTAAATTCTGGTCAGATGATGGACACCCGTTTCTCCCAAGCATGTTTAAACTCAGTTACTGATAAGTGAGCCACTATCTCTGCTGGCAGTTGGCTCCAAGCTGCCTCTTTCCCCGAAGTCCTGTTTTCTAAGATTTGGGACGATCACAAAGATATCTAGATGTTTCCCTTATTTGGTCAGGTATTAAGCGCTCTGACAAAATTAGCGTTGGGTCTGTTAATGTTTGCTGTACACTCACCGCACAACAGATGTTTCTGGTGCAGGTACAGGCGGTCCTCGACTTACGGCCACAATTTTGCCCAAATTTTCTGCCATTAAGTGAGACATTTGTTCAGTGAGCTTTGTCCCTTTTCATGCCCTTCCTTGCTGCAGTTGTTCAGTGAACCACGGCAGTTGATAAATCAATAACCTGGTGGTTAAGTGGATGTGGCTTCCAGTTGAAGCCACACCCGGTCGCAAAAGGGGTCACATCACCCTGGGAGACAGCGACCGTCATAAATAGGAGTTGGTTGCCAAGAGTCTGAATTTTGATCCTGGGACCTAGGAGATGCTGCAACGGTCGTAACTTTGAAAAATGGTCATAAGTCGCATTTTTCAGGGCCATTGTAACTTTGAACTAAATGAACTGTTGTAAGTTGAGAACTACCTGTAGTCCTCGGATTACAGCCATTTTTCTGTAAGTTACGACAGTCTTGAGAAAAGTGACTTATGACAGATTCTTACACAGAGGACGCTGGCGGCATTTTGAGAGGGATCTTGGAGTCTGAGTGGACAACCAGCTAAATAGGAGCCAGCCGTGTGCAGCAGCAGCCAAAAAAGCCAATGCAATCCTAAGTTGCATTAACAGAGAGATACAATTGAGATCCAGGGAGGTACTAATACCACTCTTTAAAGCCTTAGTAAGGCCACACCTAGAGTGCTGCATCCAGTTTTGGTCACCACAATATAAAAAAGATGCTGAGACACTAGAAAAAGTACAGAGAAGAGCAACCAGGATGATGAGGGGGCTGGAGACTAAAACATACGAAGAACGGTTACAGGAACTGGGCCTGGCTAGTCTGGTGAAGAGAAGGACCAGGGGAGACAGGAGAGCAGCCTTCCGATAGTTGAGGGGCTGCCCCAGAGAGGAGGGAAGGGGTCCAGCTATTCTCCAAGGCACCTCAAGGCCAGAGAAGGAACAATGGATGGAAACTGAACAAGGAGAGATTCAGCCTGGAAATAAGGAGAAACTTTCTGACAGGGAGAACAATCAACCCACGGAACAGAAGTTGCCCTCGGAAGTTGTGGGAGCTTCATTCCTGGAGGCTTTCAAGAAGAGACTTCCTTCAAGAAAAGAGAGAGAGAGAGAGAGGCATAAAGAGAAAAAGAGAGAGAGTGTCTGTGAAAGAGAAAGGGAGGAGAGAGAGAAAGAATGAGGGTGAGAGAGAGATAAAGAGATGGGGAGAAAGAGAAAGAGAGAGAGAGACAGAGAGAGAGACAGAGAGAGAGAGAGAGAGA